AAAAAAAAAAAAAAAACATTTTAAATATTAAAACTATTTTACTTCTGCTAGTCACAAAAAATGTTATTTTCACAGAAATGATCTGATATGGACTTCCAATAAATCAACATATTACATTTCAAATGCAAAACAAGAAATCAATTAAAACAAAATAAAAACGTAAATATTCCACAAATTGTTTCATGTCTGAGCTCTTAATATGTAAGAAGTGTAACACATTTGCCCTATGTTCTACGAATTCAAAGTCGACTTCAACGTGAGCGCTGCCAGAGGCATTCAAATATACATTTACTCGACTTTGTTTCTGTCTTTGTCTTGCTCTCTCCCGCTCCCTCTCTCTCTCTCTCTCTCTCTCACACACACTCAGTCTCGCCTGTTTACCATATGTAAAACGAATAAACACACAATCGGATCATTGAGCTGAGAAACTTGCTTGCTCTTTGCTTTCCCTCGACGTCTACACCAACACCACTAGCACCACCGCCGCAGCAACCACAACTGAACTGAACTAAACCACCGCACAGTCAGTCTTGTTGCTTCAGCGGGGGTCCTCAGTATTCGGCATAAATAGAAACAGTTCGATGTTCGAATGCGATTCCAGCAATTCCAATGCTAACAGATCAGAGATCGCAGCGATCACAGCTGATGCTACATATATACATATACATATATAACTTTTAACATATTTCTGGCATTCTATTCTTTATCTGAAGTTGTCAGTCTGGAAACATGTTTTTGTTTTTTGCTGCCCAATTCATTTATATTCTTTTGATCTTTGATTTGAATTGTGTTTGCTGAACTTACGTAATATCAGCGTGAAACCCGAACAAAAATTCTCTCTAGATCAACTTCTTCTGGCTGGCTAACGAATGTCATGTATGAGTCATAATAAATTTTGTTTTTCATTTATCTGCTGAAATAAACGACTAAGCACGTTACAGTGATTAAATCGACTGCGCAATACTCTGCTGCACACACACATATATGTATATGTGTATGTGTGTATAGTAGCAGTATTTCAATAGTATTTCAATTTTGAAATTTGGCTCTATTGTTAATATATCTATTATATATTTAGTGCAGCGTCTTTTTAATATTTTTTAGACATTGTGATTATGATATTTCAATATCTGTATATAGAGAGTACAAATAGACATTGTAGCATATATAGGCCATTGACATTTCTGTAGCTTAGTGAGTTTGCAAAATGCGCTGCTCGCATTCGTCAGGGTCACCAATTGTAAAAACTCTGTTTTAATATTATCTTTAAGCTGACTGATTGTGAGTGACTGACTAACAAACACCCTGTAAGCATGATGTAACTTAGTCATTAATAAAACAAATCTTAGGGATCTATATTGGAATATATTTAGTATTCGATATACATGAAATAATCATACTTATATAACATAATATTCAAATATGGGATAATATAAGGAATTTTTATGGAATATATTCAGTTATAGTCTGATCTAACCTCAAATATAGAACAAGCAGATATGCATTTCCTTTAAACAGAAAAGTGAATGCCTGCCTAAGAATGGGTATTTCTAAAAAAAAATAAGAGCTTATTAAATAGAGAGTTAAATATTTAAAAAAACATAAAGTTCCTTAAGTAATAAAAGGCTGATCAGTTAATATTAAAATCTTTATTTTCTAGCCTTAGTACTAAGCATATTATAATATATAATATCTACAGACTTGAGGATAGATGAATCAACACTACAAAAAAAACAGCAAATACCTTCTCCACAACTTATATACAAAATATACCCTGTGTTCATCCATTTTATTGTTTACAGGGTATAGAAAATTAATTTTTTAACAGCTCGAGTTCATTTGATTAGTGCGTCAGCGATATTCAGTGCAATCCAAGGACAGACGGG